CCCCCCCCCCCCCCCCCCGCCTCTCTCTCTGTGTCTCTCTCTCGCTTTCTCTGTCTCACATCAAGATCTTCGGATCGTGTTCGAGGACGCTGTTGGACAGGTAGAAGCGGTGGAAGTAAGCAACAGCGGTCGCCTGCGGGCGGGAGTAGCCCGAGTGCGCCAGGGAGGGGAACAAACAGCGAAGGACATTGTGACGATGGAAACGGGGGGTCAGAAAGAGGCTACCATGACGACTACGCGATCGTCATGTCCGACGGCGGACAACGAATCAATCGCGAATGGTAAAGCCGTCATGACCCAACTATTGTAACTTTCCTCTTCCGGAAACGCGCGAACAGCGCCAACACCGGGGAAAAAGTGCGACCGGGCCAAGCTTTCTGAAAATACTTCCGGAAACGTGCGAAATCAGCCCAGTCTGCCACTGGCAGAGTAGATCGCCAACAGCTGTCGTCTAGAATGTGAACTCCGTCTCCTCCCGAATGGGTGCGGTTCGTACCTGGACCTTGTCAGATCTCCGTAGATCTTCATCTGCCGAATCGCGGCCGCACGTCTCTTGAATTTTCTTCGCGTAGTAATTCTTTACTAGGCACTCTTCCTCCACCTTTCCTTATCCCAAGCCCACGGCGTCGTCAGAAAGGAAAGCACACGTTCAGGTTCGGTGCGAAAATAATAAGTACAGCGACGGGGGTAGATTCTTACGAATGGGCTTTTTAGGGGGTATAAGCGAGAAGCAGGGGGAGATACGGATTAGGCAAACTCTCCTTTTATCGGCGCGTCGGAATGACGAGACCGTTCACATTCCGTCACACAGGCCGGGGAATCTTGAGGGTCGTTATTCGGGGGCGACTACTATCTGGATGGATGCGAGCCAAAATAACGGACGTCGACAACGCTATCTACTTGCAGACAGTCAAGACCAAAATTCCACAATCTCGCGCATCGGGTCCTCACCGTAAGGCAAGACCATATAGACTAGACCTCCCCCCTGCCTCAAATGTTCATGTAGAACTCCCCAACGCGGTGCTATTTGGACCCACTCCGAGGTTAGGCTGTTAATTGCCCAAAACGCGAGGAACATCATGGGACTCGAACGTTTCCATGAGGACCAACGTTCATCCCTGAACTCTCTCACAGCTGCCACACGAAACTCGGCAGGGGGTAGAGAGGTACATTGCGGCTGCACAGCATTCACGTTGTAGTTTATTCGTCGATCGACTCGTGTGGGCGCACTTGCCTATGGCCGCGGGCTACAAAACAAAAGCATATGCTCCATGCATATGCTACCACATGTAAACGCGCCCGGTCGGCATACCGTGAGCAGTGGTTCCGCCGACGACGCAGTCGGCGCTGGTCTTTTTTTCCCGCTCTCACCCCCTTTTCCTTTCCCGTCACTGTCGCCCTCTCCGGTGTCCGTGGTTGGCACTCCTGCCGTCAGTATGTAAACACCAACACACAAGTGACTCAGTTTACTCAGGACTTCCAAGCGGTAAGCTATGATGCGCCGCATTCGGGCGTCAAACGGTCACTCTCCAACATTGCAAATCACGCATTTCAAGACAAGCAGACATACTTTTGCGTACAACGGGGGGGTGTCTTGAGATTGGATTGGAACAACCGCGGATATGGACAGAAAAAAAATCGAACCTGTTGTCGATGCCAAACCGGCATGTGTCTCAAGTGTGCACGTGTCCGGTATGTAAGGAACAGCAGTACAAATGTGTCGGACATACAGTTTATCGCCGAAATCGGGGGAGATCGGCACAGTGTACTGCCGTAGATGTATGGTATCATTCTAAAGTTCAAGCACCGCTGGTCCCCTGCAATCAACCATCCATATGATCACAGACAGAGTGAGTTTTTGCTCGCTGATTAAATCCTGGTCTCCGTTGGAAGCGATGCGCTGCAAAGCTCGTTGTTAGTAACTTGATCGACTTCATAAGTCGCGAGGGAAGGGATCGCTGTACCCTTCTCGCAATAAAAATATCTCAGGCAGGAACCGCAGGAAGGAGTCCAACCCCCCCCTCCTCTGTGACCCCGGTTGGGTCGTCTAGCTGGTAGAAGTGGAGGATAGGGGCCAGGGGGGCAGACGATAGAGTCCAATGGGAGAAAAACAAAAAAAATAAAATATTGCGGTCGTTCACGGAAGGAAGCTGGTGCTGCCGCCCGCTGCACAAGGTACCAGGCACACGACGAGAGAACATACAAATACGCGGCGGGCAGAACGTACGTAATATCGCTGTTGTAGAATGGTATCGGCAGGCTCAACAAAGAGAGTGATAAAAAGAGAGTCAGCCTGCACACATTGCAAGCAAACCTCTAGACATGACACTTTAGTCCGTCTTTCTTACAACGGTGATGTGCCCGCCACCTGAGTCAGCTTGCTTTCAAAACAATTTCGTCTGCACACATAGGCGAGCCGCGAACTAAGGTCTTGACTTTTCCCATCAGGCACACCTCCTTCGCCCTTCACGTCCAGAGTTCCTTCCTCATTGTCCGTTGTAACCTGCTCGCCACTCTTGTCGCAGGCGGTCGACCTCGTTACCGCGAAGTTTCGAGACCCCTGCAACGGACAATGAGAGGGTAGGTAACAGCGTGAGACAGCTTAGGGTTAGGGTTAGCTAGGCAGACAAGTGTCGCAGACCGTATGTACTTGAAGCTAACGTTCGTCTGTAAGATGAATCAGGGTTGTACCCAGATCGCCTTGGAGTATGAGGTAGGGAGAGAACAACAAACGCGGCAAACCGCAAGGCAAGTTCCATAACCATGGTATCATGGTGTCGTATCGTACGGTGGGGGGCTGGTATGTGGGGTGCACGCACTTGCCTCTATCTTGGCTGTGTGTTACCCCCGCACAAGTTCGCTTTGCTTCCGTGTACGCGTACATCAGCGCTTCCAAGTGGATGCGATCGGATGCTATCTGAAGTACACCGTCCGCAAATCGTTTCTACCGCCGGTCCTGCCGTGTAACCAGATGCCATATGCAGCCAATGTGCTTGGGTCGGCCCAGATCAGACGAACTGCCTTCACAGCATTCCCTCACCTCTGGAGGAGTTCCAGCAGCGCAGGCCTCCGCTGCAAGCTTTGCAGTCTCCTCTTGGACTTCTCCTGATTCATGTTCATGTTCAATTGTGCGCAGCCGGATCATGTTGCAAAGGGCAAAGGGCATCGTCTTTTTGATTGTTGTCTGCCGAAAGTTGCCACTGCTGTGTAGTCCTCTTTCTGTTTCTCGTGTACCCTTTGTTTCTGCTGCCGAAAGCACCTCTGTGATATCACACACTGCTGCTGTACAGTATGCATAATGCTGTAGACTAATGCTACTAGTATAGACCAGAGGCACACAAAAGATATTAGAATGCACCTTAGAGTGTTTCAAATGTAGGAGAGAGCAGGATCCCCACATTACACCGCAGGAGGTCAGATTCGAACGTTCGGTGTGGCCGGCACGTCCCTTGACATGTTACAATTGTACAGCAGTAGTGTACCTTGGTCCCAGCTTCAGATGCACGAGTACGTTAAGTCACTGGCAGTGGTAGTAGCAATATTCTGTAGCAGCACACACAGGCACGGAGATGGTGCTGCTGTAGCACTGCTGTACAGCAGGTGCTACAATTGAGAATTGCAGTGGCTGGTGGAACAAAGCAAGTCATTGCGGGTAATTTACGCCTTGCACTACTTCCAACGGACTCACGCAGTGTTTCCTTGGTGAAAAGCCAGTGCCTTCCGTGTGTAGAAGAATTGAAGTTCATGGTCGGCTGAAGGGACTGCTGCACGTGCCGCCTACCCAAACCAGCACGCCAGCCAGACACACGCACTGCCAGTGTTATTTGGTTTATAATTTTTTTTTTTTTTATTGGTCCTTGCTCCGTCAGTACGAGACGCCCACCGCGCGGTTGGTGTCGCAGAAGAGACGATCCGCTAGAAGGTGCACTGCTGAAGGGTAGAGGAGAAGAAACGACGCGAATCGGTCCACAAGGCCCGACGTAACACTGGTCAAGGCGGCTAAACAGGTACGCCGGGCACTCGCAGATGGTATCCTGTTTTCTTTTTGACCCCCCCTCAAAAGCCCCCTGGGCAGCAGGCTGCATGCCACAGCAGGCTGCGTGTTCACAGAGCCGTAGGAGCCTCGTCGTCGCCAACAGGCATAATCGAACCTCGGTATACTGTTGTCACACTCACACTTGAGGTGCTGGTGCAAGTTTTGGGCGTTCGGTAGCTATCTGTGCTTCAAACCGAAGCTACCTCGCAAGAGGGCCTCAGCAGGGCTTCAACACGCGGAGCATCTCGGTGCAGTCGGTGCAGCAGCGGCACCAGGCCCAGGTTTGCCTTACGAGGAGAATCTTGCGGTCTCAGCGGGTGCGTCGTATAGGTCAGGGTCTGTACTTGCTCAGGCTGAAACAGCATCGAGGATTACCAATTGTAGACGCCAATACCGGCGATTCGGCCAGCAGCTATATACCGCCATTTTCAACGGTTTTTTCGGTTTTTCCAGGATGGTCCGGCAGCGCCGCGCCTCGTGTGGCAAAGTGGTGCACGGCAAAGAACCGGCAGCGGCAGGGGAGCTTCGGCGATGCTTCGCATGTGACCGCCCCGGTAGCCGCGACGGGTGCTCGACCAATTGGCAGCACGTGGTGGACTCCGAATACTGGGCGGAGCTGGGCGAGTGGTCTGCAACGGTAGGGGAAGGGTGGACTCATGAGCGCGACCTTGTAGGAGACCCTCTCAAGGCGGGAGAGTGCATCTGTCGCCGCGCCGACTGTGTGGTTAATTTGTACCAAAGGTACAAGGGGAGGCGCCAGAGGGAAGAGAAAGGAGCTTTGCACACCATGGTGATTGGGCAGCGGTCGCCGATGGGCAGGTACCCGTCGACGGGCTCCCAGGTATGACACCGCAGAAACACCACCTTTAGTGCGGCGGTGTAGGTGACTCATGCGTCCTGTCATATGCATCGATCTGGGCGAACTCTAGAACGTTGAAATTGTAGGAAGACGCGACAACGTTGACCCCCGTGAAAACTTTCACCCCGTTCTATTTTTTCTGGTCAAGTTATCCTTTCTACGTTCCCACGTGACTACGTAGATATGTATGTGAGTTTCTGGGATCGCGACCGTCACCATGTGCTGTTGATGGTGTAGTATTCTACCGAGTGGTGGACGTCCCATCTCTCAACCTTGCATCGGTAGCCCTCGCCTTACTCCTTATTTCTCGAGTGGCATTGTTCCCTTTTCCTTTGTTTTGGTTCTCACATAAGAAAATGGTAAGTAAGAGGATGCTGTGGTCGTGCATCGTTGTCTGTCCTGCCCGTGTTGGTCGAAGAGTCTCGTGGCAGGAGAGAGGGAGTCGACCCCACCCCCACAAGTCAACGGCAAAAGATATGTAGAGCGCCCGCGAGGAGGGTGGAAACAAACATATTTATGCTGCCAGCATGCCAGCATACTCCCTCTGCCAGGTAACACCTAACAAAATGAAGAAATATTAAGTACGAACGATTTTGCTTTCGCAATTTTCAGGTGCGAGCTCTTCTGGAACACATGGATCTGCAAGGCAGCGTACTGGATTGTTGTGGCTCGGCCCAAGACGCAGTGAAGACGGTCCTGAGTTCACACGGTCTCCGTGTCGCCACGAACGACTTGAATGGGTGGTATGTGTGTTGTGTGTCTCAGACCGACTTCGATGTCACCAAGCACTGCGGTTTTTTTCAGTGTTTGATTTCGAGATTTTGGCGTAAAGTTCGTATGCATAGGCTATGCTCAAACACACACGTAGCAATGTTTACCTGGCCGCGAATCAAATGGCGAATGTAATGCTTCACCACATGCATTTTTGCCGGCGCTCGTTTTTTTTTTTGCCCCCCTCCCCTTAGCTTGGTGGCCGATACCCACCTGGACGCCGCCACAGACGCTTTTGTCGAGGCGTACGTCGAGGACACGCGGCGTCCGGACTGGGTCGTACCGAGCCCACCCTACAAGAACGCCACCACCATTTTGAAACAGGCGATGCGGGTCGGTCGTATGGGAGTGGCCTTCAAGCTGAGGTTGACGTTTCTGGAGCCCACCAAAACCAGAGGGCGGTGGCTAAAGGAAAACGCGCCTGACCGGATAGTGGTGCTCCCGCGCGCTACGTACCGCGGAAGAGCGTGTAGCTCTACTGAGGCATGGTTTATATGGGAGACGGGGCGGGGGGGGGTAGGAGGCCGCGGGCCTGCTGTTTGCTTCTCGTTGCCTGACGGAGCTCTCTAGAGTAGACGTGCTTGTGTGAAGTTGCATAGCACTATGGTATTATTGGCATAGCAGTATATGTATGCTGGGTAAGTTGAATGGAAGTCTGCATGTTTGCTTCCCCGGGGCTACTACCGACGCCCCGCCTGTCCGCCCTGACGTGTTGGTGGTCCCTGTTGTTTTTTGGGGGGGGAAAGACGTCCGACGTTTGAAATAATTTTGGGCTGGAGAACCATGGCACAGCAGCTGACCCTGTTTTTCCTTGTGTACCTGCATGCACATGATGGATGGCCATGCCTATGTGTGCGCTATACGTGTGCGACTCGTGGCCCACAAGGCAGACATTGTTCTGGAAATGCACCGCAAATGAACTACTATGTTTGCTACATCGGGTTAAAATTTGCCCATGGAGCGTTGAAAAAAAAAAGGTCGCAGCCCACCCGCCGTTGTATTGTAACGTACCATCTTTAGTTCTCTGCCAAAAAAAACTGTACTGCTGCTGTATACCCCCCCCCCAACAAAAAAAAAACGCGTGCACATGTCTTGAACCTGGTACCACACCCTAGAAAAAAAAAGACTCGGTATGCACCAAAGTGTTGACCTCGAGTGTACGAAACACGCACGCATACATGTGCGCCAAGAAAAAAAAAATACGTGCACTGTGTGTTGAACACACGCACGCATAGAAGTGCGCCCAAAAAAATCCGCGTGCACATGTCTTGAACCTGGCACCACTCCTAACAAAAAAAATGACTCAGGATGCACCAAAGTGTTGACCTCGAGTGTACGACACACGCACGCATACATGTGCGCCCAACAAAAAAGACGTGCACTGTGTTGAACCTGGCACCACACACAACAAAAAAAAAGACACACACACCAAAGTGTTGACTTCGACTACACAAACCCATGTGTGCCCAAAAAAAAAACTGGACTGTTTTGAACCTGGCACCACACACAAAAAAAAAAAGACGCAGACACCGAAGTGTAGACTTCGACTGTACCACACACACGCAATTGTGCTGCGTAGCAAACCCATATGGCCGAAAACCACTTGTGGCAATTCTCATTTCTACGAGGAGAACACAACAAGAAACTCGTGCTACTAGCTCCTTCCTGTGTTGAACCTCTTGAGCAAGACCCTCGTCTGCGGCGTTTTCTCCCGAATCCCGTGCACGGCAGAGGCGTCGCGCCTCTTAGACTGTTCCTGCCGTACATGCGCCTGTGGATGACTCGACGAGCCCGTGCGCCTTTGTGCTTAGTAGTCAACTTTGGGGGGCGTTGTTCCCGAGCAGGCTGTGGCGGTGTTGGCATCGCTTGCAACACACCGAACAACGTCACGGAGAGGTAAAACACGATCGCAGGCTGGCATCTCTCCAGAGGAGTCTTGTACGAGAGTAACGGGATCACCAACACCACCGCCAACAAGTACGCCTCCATCACCCGACGTTTGCACTGGTCGGACAACCGTGCGCGGCGGCCGGCCCGGAGCACCGACCCCCAACAAAGGAAGACGATAAGAAACACAGCGGCCGACGCGCACATCGTCGGGTGCGCAAACACCCACACCCTAAGTTGACCACAGAGCTGGGCAGTCAGCCTGGGTGGCGCAGACATCGCCGGGTGAGCACACAGCCACTCCCGAACTTGAACACGGAGCATCGAAACCAACATGGCCCAGATACACAGTGCTTGCACCAGCCACAACACTCCTCGACGGAGATAGGGTGACACCAGTAGCATGTGGATGGGGCCTTCAATGACGTACTCGATGACCGACATCAATCGCATGTTCCGGCGGTAGATTTCACGACGTAGCAGCGGCGCAAAACACATCGAACCGACAGAGACCGAGATCGCCGGGTCCAACTTCGCACACAACCACCACCAATGTCCGCAGACCTGGAGGGCCCACTGGAGGGTCCACGACCAAAAGGGTATAAACGTATGGGCTGTCGCTCCCGGGAATACAAGAGCGCCAACAACCAGCCCTGCAAGGAGTTCATACCGTCTCGTGCGCAGCTCTTGTAGGGCACCAGCTATGCACCGAACGATGAACAGAAAGAGAGTCTGAACGGCAGCCGCGAAGTATGCATCCCACGACCCGCCCATGGCCCTTTAAACGGTACCCGAGGACCCGATTTTCCACGTCGGGTACGTCGTGTCGTCCAGACAGACGTTGTTGCATGCCCTGACGGGGATATGGGGAGCAAACAATACCACAAAACAACACGCGAAATGGCGGTGTGGAACCCGGATCTTAGTAACACCATTCCGGTACAAATGTTGGTGTATACCATTGCCATGGGGATTGTCCTCTCTCCAACGATCGTTGGAGGTGTCTACGCGCAGGGGATGGACATAACTTCAAACTCAGTAAGAAAGGAGTTCCGTTCTACAAGTTTGCGGAAAGCTTTATTTTCGCTTAGACGTTGCACTCGTTGCAAGACCACGGTTGTTGCAGATTGTAGACCCTGGAGCGATTTCCAAACATCGAGTACTCTGTGTCGTCGACAACTGGCCAAAAAGTTATCGTTTCGCTTGTATTGTTTTTAGTCGTGGTCACCGAGTACCGGGGCGCGCCGCGCATGGTTGTCCGGTGCTGGGCCTCCGTTCTCTTACGGGCCATTCACTGGGTTCCGATATGCGGCTCAGTTTCTATTGCTTGAAAGAATGTTGAGGCTGTTTGCTGGACACTTTTCAAGTGCGGATGCGACCAGTGTTGTCGGCCATTGAATGTTGTTCGAGGGGGGTGTGGTGTCTTCCGTAGTTCCCGCAATTATTAAAATACAGACGTCCACGGACTATTCCCTCGCATGATAAATATTTGGGCCTGTAACACGTAAAGACTATACACACGCAGCACGTACGACAGGCTAGAGGAGCACTCCGCAGACCACAGGGTACAGAGGAACAGACTTGGACAGCAGCAGCAGCAGGTATCTCGTTGCGGACTGTTCCAACCACCCCTCCCTCTGTCGTTTCTCCCTGTCGTTTTCATCATGTATGTCAAGCACTACCGGCTAGACGAATTTTTCTGTATGACATCGGCTCGGGAGGCTGTTTTATGTGTTCCTGGTTGGGTAGCACTGCTGCTTCTGCTGCTTCTGCTGCTGCTGCTGCTGCTGCTGCTGCTGCTGCTGCTGCTGCTGCTGCTGTGTTGTTGTGGAAGCAAACACTTCTGTTCTACATCGATACTGACTGACTGGCGCCTACCGCATCGCGGCAGTCAGGTTTGGCGACGAGTACGGTGGTGTGCTCCCGACTGCAGCCGCATTTTTCACTGCCGACTATCACAATAAAGCGTCGACGTATGTATGCTTATCCTGCGGAACTCTTCTTCTCGCAGAGAGGCGGACAAGGAGCGCGTTCATGATGTGTCATGAGCACAGCGTGATGTGCGGCGAGACTGCCGTGACTGTCTAGCTGCGGCGCGTTTTTCAAGGTCACTTCTAGTCACTTCGGCGATGTCCTCACCATTAGCCTTGCAGAACAGGCTACGCCGAAAACCTTGGCAATGTCAGTAGCCACGTACCTGATCCACCCAGCCGTGGTGCTCTTGCCTAGGATTATCCCCTCCTAGATAAGCTTTCCACCTCTCCGTCAGGCCTCTCGCCAGTTGGATACTGACGCCCAGTGATTAAGGCTTCGGGAGGAGGCGTGTTTTGTGTATAAGTTCTGCGCGCCAGCGGCGCATAAAAAAAAAAATTTCCTAAACCAAATAACACTGGTGCGCAGGCATGTTGCAGGTTGGCCTAGGGGTCGCCGTGGATTGAAAATCGCCATTTCTAGGTACTGTAGCTCCAAACACGAAGCTCCCCTTGAAAACAAATATGGCAGTTGGGCATTGTTTGCTGCATCCATCGTCCTTCGAGGCGTGGTGCAAGGATAACATAAGATTCGAGTGAACCACGACCATGCCCGATCACGACGATGTCGCCGACACGGCATCAACAACGTCTTCATCGTCCTACGATGACAACCGGATCAAGGTCGTTTGCCGAGTGAGGCCGCCGGTGTCTCGCGAGACCCATGGCGCGCGGACTCTCGCTCACCGCTGCGTTGCCGTCAGAGAAGACAAGCGCACGGTCACGCTCAACAGCAAGCCTCAGGAGAAGAACTTCACGTTCGACTACGCGGCAGGCGAGGACTCTACGCAAGAGGAGCTATTTTCGGAGGTGTGTTGCTTTGTGGCTCGGGTTGTCGGGTTGCAAAAAAAGAAAAACGAAAAAGCCAACGGACAGATCTGTCCTACAGCAGTAGCAGAGCAGCAGTTGCTCTCTGGGGCTTTCCCGGGAAGAGGAGAGGGTTTGGCCACCACCGCGCGCACTGGCGGTGAGATCACCATCACCAGATGGCTCAACTACAACATGTGTCATTGCAGTACAGTAGGAAGGCGGGCCTCCACTTGAGTTGTGCTTGGCTGCGCTGTCATGCCTCAGCAGCCAGCAGCTCGCGAAGTCACATCTCGCTTGTTTGCCTTTCACGCTGCAGCTGATTAGAGCTAAGCGATACACGCACGCGGATCCAGCAGGAGAGTCCAAGCTCATTGTGTGTTACGCGTCCAATAGATGGGGATGTTTGTTATTCTTGTTGATGTGCTTGTCGGTGCTATGTATCTACCTCGTTCCCTCGTTTTGCGCCGTTGTTTTGTTGTTTTTTGCCTGGCCCGAGACTGCTGGAAATGGTGATCTGCGATGATTCTTTTTCTTCGCGGCATCCGAGATCCCGAGCCAGGCTGGCTCTTGACTATCCTCCGGAGATAGACTATATATGGACAACGGGTGTCTGATATAATCTAACCGACCGCGGCGTGGCTGTGTTTGTTCTGTATCATACCCGTCTCCCAAGTAGTGTATCTCTAAACGCAAATGCACTCCGACCCGCGGCCCTCGTTGTTGGTGTATGCTCCAAACATACGCACACACATACACAGGTTGGTAAGCCCGTCACGGAGGCGTGTCTGGAAGGATACAATGGGACCATCTTCTGCTACGGGCAGGTGGGTTAGGGTTAGGGTTAGGGTGGTGTCACATATACATATCGTAGATGCACCTAGAATACAATGGCGAAATTGTTGTACGGTTCAATAGAAAAGGCTGTCGATGATAATGCACAAGGTTTTACAGCGTATCTTGAGCAAGACCTCCATCCAGCGATCCAGCGGTATCGTTTACAAATATGGCGTGTCTCGACCTACATGAACAGCAGTACCTTCAGTACCCTCTTGCTGCTGCACCAGTCACGTGGTCCCTGTTGCGATTGCGTTGCCTCGAGGCCAGTAACCCGTTTGCACAGACGCTGCCCGCCGAAACCGAACTCGAGCCGCACGACGCTCTTCTTCCTTCAACCGTTGTGTTTGACGGCGTGCAGACGGGGTCCGGTAAAACCTTCACGACGTTCGGACCCGGGGCGGTAATGGAGAACCATCTCACCCCCAGCGACCCCAAGTCGTATGCCCTCCGGGGGCTTGTGCCTCGCGTACTCGAGTACCTGTACGCCAACATCGCGCGTCAGGTTGACAACGGAGGAGGCAAGGTGCGACCCGACAGAAGACCATCCCGTTATCGTTTATGACATCGTCGGTGTTAAAAAAAAAATCAGATCGGAGAGTGGCATTGACAGAAGAAAGGCCAAACAATCGCGGCCGACAGCGAACCAAAAGAGACAATGATTCGGCGAATGTCTTTGGGTTACTTATTGTTCATGGTGGAGCACAACGCGGACGGCCTAAAGCGCCGTGTCGTCATTGGTAGGTAGATCGTGGTCATTCTCTTCATCACTCGTGCTCGTTCGTGTTCGTGTTCTTGTTGGCGATGCACAGGTGAGCTACTCGTGCAAGTGCTCCTTCTTCGAGATCTTCAACGAGAAAGTCTTCGACCTCGTGGATGAGAGCAACAGGGACAATCCCCTGGGGCTCACTGTGCGGGAGGACACACGGAAAGGGGTCTATGTCGAGGGGCTCATGGAAGAGGATGTGAGTTGGGTTACTGCTGTAGTTGCCATCATGGGGGTCACAATCACGAAAAAGGTGGCAGGGAATGAATCAGTGACAGAAAGCGTTGTACGAGGAGTTGAATTAGAGAGATCATCGGGGAAATTTAGACGGACTCAACTGTAGGTAAGCGCTGTGAGCACTTTGTATTGTGCTCCTGAAAGCAGAAAGGTTTCTGCTGCACAAGACAAGTTCCATGCCGTTCAGTAGTTTGTTACTTGCGTCGAGCAGTCCTCGTGTGATCGTGCGTTACAGCTGTAGCAGGGGTTGCAAGATCTGGATACGTCGCTGGTAATGCTTCGCCTCCTGCGGTCTCGTCGGTCTTGGCGGAACCTGGCAAATTTTGTCGCTTGGCCCAGGCCTCCTCCTAACCTCCCTCCTTGCTATGATACAGCAGTGTGTTGATCTTCTCATCTTGCCCATGACATGCGCAAAATAACATATTATACTATGCATACTTGTTGTATTGCAGGTGGACGGCGTCGAGTCGGCATGCGAGGTTCTCCACAGGGGCTTCCGAAACCGGCATGTCGGGGAGACCGCCATGAACCGCGAGTCGTCGCGGTCCCACGCCGTGTTCACCCTGGTGATTCAGGCCACGGAGGTAGTGGAGGAGGAAGGACTGACTCGCTCGAGAATTGCTCGGTTCAACCTCGTCGACCTTGCTGGCTCCGAACGGCAGAAGGACACCCAGGTATTGAATGTATTGTACGGCCGACCGCGGTCAGTTTTGTGCTTTGTTTCGAAGTAAATTAGGATTGCGCGTTATGTGCGCTGCTTGTTGTTGATCACCTCACGGTAGGGTACCTGCAATCCTTCTAGCCTTTAGGCCCCTGACATACATGTACTTCGCGGGTGTTTATCTCCCTTTCGACCCTTGCTGTGCGACCAACTTAAATTAGTGTTTTGTCTTTCCCTCTTGCCTGTCTCCCTTCTTTCGTGGCCACTCCACCCCAATCTATCGTCTGGCATCGCCCTCGCTGTCTCTCTGTCTCTCGCGATGCACGCGGTACTGCTGTACGGCAGGCAAGCGGAGAGCGACTCAAAGAGGCGTCGAACATCAACAAGTCCCTGTCCACCCTAGGCCAGGTGATTAACGCCCTCGTTGAAAAGTCTGCGGGCCGATTCCGCCATGTACACTACCGCGACTCCAAGCTCACTTTTCTGCTGCGAGACTCCCTGGGTGGCAACTCGAAGACCATGCTCGTGGCCGCCCTGTCCCCCGCCGACCAGAACTTCGGGGAGACCCTGTCCACGCTCAAGTTCGCCCAAAGGGCCAAGATGATCAAAAACCAGGCGGTCAAGAACGAGGACACTTCGGGCAGCTTCGACGCCCTCAGGAGGGAGGTGACGACCCTTCGCCAGAAACTCGCTGCCGCGCAGCAGCCCGGGAGCGGCGGCGGTATTCCCCGAGCCATCGCCGCCGGCGGAGATTTCTTGGAATTTTCTGGCGGTGGGGAAGGTGGCATCGCGGGGGCGGCGACCGGCGGTGTGGATGCCGGTGCCTCGGAAGAGCTGTTGGTGAACGCACTGCGGAGGGCGAGGGCCGCGGAGAAGGCACAGGCAGGCGCGAGCAGGAGGGTGGAGTCTCTCCTGGCCGCCGTGGAGAAGGGGGAGAAGGACGCGTTGCAGCTGAAGATGATCATCAAGTTCCGCGACGGGACCATTGCCGCGCAGAGGAAGAAGGACTCGGACCAGGAGCGGTGCGTGTGTGTTGTGCTGTGTTGGGGTAAGGGTAGGGGTAGGGTATGGTGGGATCGAGCCTCGTTTTTTGTTTTGGTGCTGTGCTGCGTTTGGCAGGCCGCGGGGTGCAATGCTGTCTGTGGTCTTCAGGTTGTTGGATTGTCCGCGTGAGAGTCCTCATGGACGATGCCAGACATGCGATTCGACGCCAAGCTCACGTGCAATCTGTTTTGGTCGCTGCCTCTTGCTTGTACACAATCCCAGGGCCGCCATGGCCGACGAGAACGCGCATCTTCTTAAGCAGCTCGAGGGAGGGGTCAACGAGTCTGCCGAGGTGAGGGTGGCTAACTGTGCGGCCTTTTGAGCAGCGACATCGTGTGATCTCGCCGTGTCTCGTAAGATAGCAGCGTCCTCCACAGCGTGCAGGACACACATTGATGCAAACGTCAATGCGGAGGAGGACATGAGAAGAGCGCGTCGGGTTCGGTATCTCGCAGTCCCGCACCGAGTCAGTCATGCGTGTTGACTGCTGAACGATTCCTGGTGCTTTTTCATTTCACCATTCTTCCTTCGTGATTCTCCTTCCATGAACCAGGTGAGCAAGTGGCGGCTGCAATGCAAGGAGGCCGAAGCTAGGCTGGCAGAACTCACGGGTGACAACAGCGGCGACGTCAAGAGACTCGTATGGGGAGTAGGCGACGAGGAAAGGTTCCGTGGCGAGCTGGACGAGAAGGTAGGTCAGTAGGTTAGGTCTTGGTAAGTCAACGCTACCCAAGGTTGTTGTAGTGATTGACAGCGGCGATCGGAGTGCATTCCCCTCTGATACTACTTGGTTCGCTGGTGGAACATCCTATGGCTAGGAACAATTCAATTGCTAGATGTTTCCCTTGCCAAAGCTGCTTGAAAGGACGAACTGTACGTGCAGCATGTTTTTATTTCGTCTTTTGGTATCGATCGATCGATCGAATCTACTTGTGCATGTAGAGAAGATGTATTCACTCAAAGTGAGCCCGGTCTTTCAAGGTTGACGGCCATACCGTCTTTTCTAGCCAGCTCCATCGCGAAAGATGACATATTGCTTGCGACTTTCTGCCGTGTCGTCGGTTTTGGGTTCCAACATGAAACATGTCCTCGGTATTGGTTGTTTGGGCGCTCGAACAGGTGCTGAGCCTTGTGGAGGAGAAGCGTCAGCTCACCGACGCCGCTGATGAATTCGAAGAACGACTCCGCCACGAGTCGAGGAAGGCAGAGAAGCGACGGATGTCGGCGGCTAACCGTGCGGAATTGGAGGTATTTTTATCGTAGCGATTATCGGTGTGCTTGCTTTGGGTGATTGGGTGAAAACCCCTGCCATTGTATTAATGTTTCATTTTGTTTTCTTCCTTGCTCCTTTGCTGTGGACCTTGTATTGTAATCTTCTACTTGTAGGGAAGATTTTTGCGTTGTGTGAGTCACGTACTCTTGCAGTGCTTATGGTGCGCCAAGTCGGGGGTACCGATCTTGCCCTCTTGTCCGGCGACGTCGGTGTATTATGCTGACTCGTTTACTCCCGATGTCAGTGTGGTGAACCGCCAATGTGGATTCTATATCAGCGAAGAACTGAGGTGCGGATTTCTTCACTTACGCTGTCGGTGAAGTTAGCCGCTCCTCATGTCGCAAAGAACTGCTGACTTGTTCACTCACGCTACGTTGTCGGTGTACGTGGACCGCTCCTCATGTCGGCTCTGCCTTCACGAAGAACTGCTAATCTTGTAGGGTCATTTCTTGCGTGCCTTACCTCTCGCACAATGGTGCTTCTTTTTTTGTCTTCCACCTATTTGCTTCGTCTCCTCGCGTGCAGGCCAAGAAGATCGTAGAGAACGCGCTGCTGAGCAAGCTTCAGGAGGCTCAGCGCCAAGCGGAGGAGACACAGGCCGCCCTTGCCGTGTCCGAAGAGCGCGTGGCTGGTCTAGAAACGGAGAGGGCTCGCCAGGGAGCGGCGGTCTCCGCGCTGACCAAGCAGCTTCAAGACGCCAACAGGTGATGGCTGCTGGAGAAGGGGTAGAAACGACATGGGGGGGCTTTTTTATGCAATTTCTCGGGGGTTTACTACCTGTATTCCAAGTACGAGGGATTTCGGTGGGGTGGTGTTGTTTCGGTTGTGGGCGAGCTAAGATCCGATACTTTTTTGGATTCTTATCGTAGTCACCTAACCCACACAATTCCTGTAGACTAATCCTGGAAGGCCCATGAAAACACACCAAACCCCACGAACGCCGTATAGAATTATGAACAACTCTTTAGACGGTACCAGGTAGTCTAGAGCTATACCACCTGTTTTGTGTTTCCTAGCGCTCAATAGCATGCTCCGTTCTGATCTATTTCCTCCGTTGGTGGGGATGTTTCAGACGTGAGGCGGAGGCGGTGCAGGACCGGGATGTGCGTCTGGCGGACCTGCAGTCGAAGATCGGAGAGCTTTCTGAGGCGAAAGAAAGGGCTGTCACGGACGGGGGGAGCGAGCTTGCCTCGCTGGAAGTCAAGATCGTCGGCTTCATCAAAGACAACTCGGAGTTGCTGCGCGCCAACAAGTGAGAGGGGAAAGCCATGGCGTGGGGTGGGGTGGGGTGTCTGGTGTTGGTGATTGCGTTGTGACCCCGTCGGGATTGTTGGCAGACAGCAGGTACAGCAGGGCAAAGAACTTGTAAACTTCCTCGTCGAAGTCTGATCCACCCGGTCATGGCCTTTTGCTGCTATGCAGACTCCTAGGCCAACAGAGAAACCAGAGTCTCCACTGACATCCAAGCGAGCGAATGCTATCGCGGCATTCAGTCTTGTCTGTTTTTGTGGTTGACACGTGTGCGTGGTCGTGGTTGTGATACTCAGGGCCCTGGAAGAAGAGGCCGACGCGCTTGATCTTAGCTTGGAGCAGCTGGAAGCGGAGAAGAAGGGCCTCGAGGAGAAGGCTGCTGCCGAAAGGGCCGAGGCGAAATCGGCCATCAAGAGCCTAGAGGAGCGCATGCAGCAGCAGCAGGAGGCCCAAGAGCGGGAGTTGGAGGACCAGCAGGCCGAGAAGAGGTGCGTCGCAGTTTTTATGTCTTGTGGGCTGGCTTGCCGGCTGATATAGGCAGTAAGTATAATTTTTGGTGGTTTTGTTGGTTGCCCCTGTGTTTGCGTCAGAGCCGTTGTTGTTCTTCTCCCTCACAAATAGAGTAGCGACTACCATCCTGCCACTGCAATATATTTCATCCTTTTCGTGCACTCTCGGCTTAGTTTGGATCCATGCCGTGTTTGTTTTCGTGCGTACTCCGGCACGATGATGCACCATGCTGCACCATGCACGATGCGGCCATGGCATGATAAAATAGGTCGGTGGTGGAAGATTTGGAAGATGTGACGGAACGCCTGAGGTCCGCAAAGGAGGCTCACGGCAAGGAGGTTGACGAGCACCAGCGGCGCAGCAATGACCTTCAGGAACGCCTCGTGGAAACCCGCGCGCTGAAGGGGCAGGTTAGTGGGCATGAGGATATCAACGACGTGGGCAAGGTTTTCTTGGCTTGGCTTGGCTTGGCTTGGCTTGGCTTGGCTTGGCTTGACTTGTGAGGTGCTGCTTCTTTGTTGGTGTTTAGCAAGTGCCGTCGTGGAGTAGATAGAATGCGAGCAGATTCAGTGGGTGTTGCATCATGGAAAGCATCCGTTTTCACTGGAATGAGGTATTCATGTTGCTTGTCGGTAGAAGAGGTATTAATGTTGCTTCTCGATAGAAGAGGTATTAATGTTGCTTCTCGGTAGACGAGGGAGAAGAGGTAGAAGAGGTAGAAGAGGGACTGCTGCGTCAGGTTTTCGGTCCCGTCATGCACTGCTGTCTTTTTTGCTTGTATCTTCGTTTCGACATGCATGCACAACGTTGTAGCACGCTGTGCATTCGTGATCTCGTGCCGCATCGTTGTACTTTCTTCCTCAGTTGGAGGGCCGGCTGAAGCAAGTGCAAGACGACTACGACACTCTCTCGGAGCAGGCGCACTTCACCCAAAGCCGCGCTCAAGACCTCGAGTCCAGTCTGGAGCGGGCTGCCGAAGACCTACGCCGCGCCGTCGCCGCCGGCACCGCTCGTGCTTGCATCGTTCAGGGCCAGCTCCGCGAGACCGAGGCCCGTCTGTGCCTTGCTGAGGAGGGTCTAGCTGACGCCGAGCTACGCGCAGAGGGTGAGGAGTTCTTCAAGCTGGCACAGGAGGCGATTTCGAAGCAGGCGGGCGAAGTGTGCGCCGAGCGGGAGAAGCGTATCGAGAGTCTGCTGGAGGAGTTGGAGACGTCTCGGGGGTACGCGGATGGGCTCCGAGCGCTGCTTTCAGGGGCTGAGCATGAGGAACGGCGTGGGTTGCCCGAAGGGATTGGTGCCATGGTCGGTAAAGTGGAAACGGAGTCTCGCGAGGCGATGGTCGGGGGTGCGGTGATGTGCCGTGAGATGATGGAAGAGTATGAGGCCGTGGTGGACCGAGTGTGTGGTCTCGAGCAGACGTTGGACGAGTTTGTTATGGATGAGGACAGGCTGGTCGAGGAAGTCTGCGGCCTGCAGCGCCGAATCGAGGAGCTGGAGGTGAGTCTTGGAAGAGCGACGGCTGTAATAGTAGTTCGAGGTTTGAGAGTTTACCACGGGCGGGGAATGTTGTGTTGCCGCGCGGGGTATGTCGTTTGTCGTTTGTCGTTTGTCGTTTTGTATTCTTTTCATAACAAATAGTAAATATTTCACAGGTAATCTTGCTTGTTGCATACTCATGCAATGTGACTATGATTGTGGTACACTACGGGCAGGACGGTCACTTTTCTACCTTTGCCCGGGCATGATGTATCAGACGCCTTTGTGTGCCTTGAAGAGACGAATCAGAGGAAACGAGATCGTATGGCATGGGACCACTTTGTGCTTTTTTGTTTGTTTTCAAGAAACATAAGTGTCGTTTAACCGCCGCCACATACCCCGCCTCCCGCACCCTCCTGTTCAATGTAAATACCACACCAGGAGAACGAGGCCGCCATCACGGGCGACCTCACAAGCACATCGGCCCAACTCGGCGTCGCAAAGGCCGACCTCACGAGCGCTGCGGAGCAGCAGGTGGCCGCTTGCAACGCTCTGACGGACAAGGAAAAGGCCAACTCGAATCTAAGGGAGGCACTCGCCGTTGCCGAGTCTACGGCTACCGAGCTCCAGGCTGCCAAGGACGACCTTCATGCCGAGGTCGAGAAGATCAAGGGCGAGGCCCAAGAGTTGGGCGTCAAGCTCGAGGAGATGCGAGACTCGTGCTTCGACTACCAGGCGCGTGCGATGAAGGCTGAAAAGTCCCTCGAGGGTCTGACGGCGGAGTTGACTGAGGTAGAGGAGGAAAAGGCGGCGTGCTTGTCTCGTGAAGAGGCCCTCATCGCCGCTGTAGCCGCAACCAAGAAGATGGCCGTCGCGAACGAGGAGCTTGTGAGGGCAAAGGAGGTGGAGCTTGAAGCGGTCGAGGGAGACCTGGCCGCGAGGAACGAGGAGCTTGCTGCCCTACAGGAGGAATTCGCGGAGGTGAAGCTGGAGGTGACTACCACGGACGAGAGGCTCGAGGAAACTAACAAGAGGCTGAAAGAGGAGACGGACAGGGTGAAGAACTTGGAGGAACAAATTACCGTCGGCAGGGGGACCATTCAGGGGCTCGAGGAAAAGGTGGAAGAGCTTGAGGAGCAGGTGAAGGACAACGAGAAAGACCTCGCCGCTGCAAAGAAGGATCTCGGAGAGCAAAAGAAGGAGCTGGCCTCTGCCGCGAGCAAGCTTGCAGCTTCTGAGACGAAGGCCGGTGCGGCGGAGGAGGCCTTAGCCACCGCGGAGGCTAGGGCCAAGGAGGGTAGGGAGACTGAGGCCGAGCTGAGGGAGGCTATCGCAGAGGCCGAGGTTGCGAGCAAGCGGGGCATCGAAGCAGCGAGGGAGGAGCTCGGCGAGATGAAACAGCGGCTCAGGTACAGTATCTAGAATAGGAAGACAGGACGGCAGCTGCTTCCTTTTGTCGTTGGGGCTGGTGTTTTGTCAAGGCTTTTCGTGCTCCCGCATGTTGTTGATTTTGGGGCTGAAGGGGAAGAGGATAGCTTATCGTCTCGATATATTCAACTGATTGCTTCGCTTTGCTTTCCACCCCATACACCTATGATAAGAAGGAAGGGCCTGAACCACGTGTCTTGAGACGGCGCTACCATCATGATGATGGTGGATAAGGATGTCACTTCACGGCCAATTTGTTCTTGAAGTATGGATAGTTGTATCACTCGCTCGACGGTTGGTGATATGCTGCATGTTAAAAATCAAAAACCGTGTGGTGACCTTGCGCGTCGGTTTGTCATTTTTTTTTATGTTCGTCTTCCTTGTTCATGTGCTAATTTCGTGCTATGGCAGCGCTGAGGTAGCGAGAGCGGAAGCTTCCGAAGCCCGTGCAGAGCAGGCCGACGCTCTCAAGGCCGAGGTTGAGGAAATGGTGGCGAGCCTGGGCCGAGAGGTGTGTTCGTTACTAAAGAAGTACTTGATCGACAGGGCGTGACGCATGAGGAATCATCAACGCTCGTGGTTCGGTTGATGTCGGTAGTTTTGTCGTCGTCGTCAGATGTTCCGTGAGCCTTCCGTTTTTCTCTCGGAACTCGGGAGATGTTGTTTTTGGTTGGGGTGTTGAGTTTAGCTCTTCCTCTGTCGCACATGCCCGGTACGGGTATGACATGCCATGCCATGCCATGGCATGCCATGCCATGCCATGCCATGCAATGTCATGCAATGTCGTAGCAGCCGGCCGGGATGTCGCTGCTTTGCTTGTACTGAAGACGTAATTGCCTAGCGTACAGTATAAGATCCGGCATATAGCTCATGCCCAGTCGACAGCAGCAAGTGAGCGTGTGGTTGGTGTCGTCATCCTTCGGTTTGGCTTTCCGCCGGCCTCTCCGCGAAAAGGTACCACATACCGGCACTACCCATGGCTTCCATCGCTTTGGCTTTGGTGTGGGGATTAGATTCAAACAGACTTGCTTCGTAGTACTGAACTGAAGCACGAGTATCGAATCCCTTCTCGCCACTTGTGTATCCTACTGTACAAGTGTTTGACATTTTTTTCTGTTGATCTTTGGCAAAAGCCGAGATTAATACCGGTATCGTCAGTATCCTTTCACGAAAAGGTGAATCCCGCCTTTCACTTGTCGCACTTGTTGCCCACCGCCCCTCTGTCTCTGTGTGACGTGTTCGTAAACCATGGCTGTTGGCACATTTTTTCCGCTTTCCTGCAGTTGGTTCAGCTGCGGGAGGAGTGTCGCCGTGCCGCTGACAGATTGGAGGAGTCGGAGGCCGTACAGAAGGTTCACGCTGGCCGCGTGATTGATCTCAAGAAAGAGGTGCGTATTGTGGAACTGCAGTCATGTGTGGTTTGGTCGGGAGGTCTTGATGAGGGATGTGTGTTGTTGGTATATGCACGGCCGTTCCCTCCAGACGAGGAGGCTGCCAAGAAGAAGACACGGTGATACGAAACGAAACGATGTTTGATTTCATTGGATGGCTGCCTGGCCGCCCGTGTCGTGTACCTTGTTGGATTCTCCCTTGACTTGTCTTCTCTTGCCCCGTTGTCGTTGTGGTCTGAACCCACCCACACCATCCACTTATTACACCAACCACAGGTGCAGCGCCTGCAAGGCTCCACGATGTCAGAGGAGGAACGGCGAACCCTTGTGTCCGACGTGGAATCGGCTCGGCTCAACATCGCCGAGACTGAGCGTATGCTGCAGGTGGCCACGACTCGCAACGCCTGTCTGGAGGAGGAGATACGGGCGATGAGAGGAGAGACCGAAGGCTACACGGCTAAGGTACTGCTGCTGTAGCAAACGTATTCTGCGTTGGCATAGGTCAGACTTGCCTTTTTCTCAGCATGCTGCCACGTGCCATCGGAAAGGATAGGGCTCATCGCATTTGGGCTGGTCGTGACAGAAAAGAGGTTGGATATACTAGGGCGGTAGGCTTGAGCAGATCGTTTTCGATGGTCCCAGTCGCAGGGAGGTCGGTGAAAACGTGTCGGCCTGATGATGTTGCATTATGAATAAGGTGTACTGCGGTAGAAAGTTATTCGATGGAGAGTAGTTTTTGCAGGGTCATCATCCTGATGCATACAACAAGACATGCATCCGGAGGAACAGACGTTCTGTAGGGCAGGGCAAACGACACCAAGACTTCAACCAACAATGCGGTGTCTATTTAGAGCGAGGCTTGAAGCGTACACTTTGAAGAACGGTGGAGCCTTGGTTTCCACGCGGAGTAAACCATTAGAAGTGTCCAATGTGTCCAACTTCTGCCGAATCTTGCTTTGTTGAAGGTGATGGAGCTGAAGGACGTCAACGCGTCCCTGGTGGGCCACAAGAATTCTCGTCAGAAGATCCAGCAGGTGGGTAGTTGACAAGGTATGTGTGCCCGTCTGCTGTGTCGACTTTCCGGTCGAGGAGATTGACGACGCCAACGGGATTGCTGTGTATCGGTGCGAGCGGCCCCCGCACGCCATGAACCTACTGTACCTTTCCATTTTACTGAGTTATTCTTTGCGAGACTAATGGTTGCCCATCTATTCCTGCACGAAAAATTTCCACATCGACACATGTTCTCCAACGGGCATTGCTTTACAATAGCCTTGATGCTACAGCACTGCCGGAGGTTTTCAACCCTTTCCCCGGCCGTCCTCGATTGCTTTTTGCTATATTTATTGTGTTCTGTCCCCAGGTACAAAAGCTCAAGGACGAGAACAATCTCCTCTCGCGGAAGGTGAAGGAGCTCGACGACCGCCTCTTCAGCATCAAGCGCTCGGGCTGCGGCCCCGGATGCGGGCGAAACGCCTCCGGCAGCTCAACCACAACCACAAGAGTTTCTTCCCCCAGCGCTGGTGCTGGTGCCAGGGAAGGCGAAGCATCGACATCGGCCAATTTCTCTTGGGCCGGGTCTCAGCAATCAGTGTCCCCGACCCTCAAGTCGCGTGGTGGTGGCGATACGGGAGGGGGTGGGGACAAGGTCGGCTCGGCCGGCAAGACCTACAACCTAAGGCGCAGGCCCAAGGTAGCAGAGGCTGCGTCGAACGCGGGGGCGGGCGGGGTAAGCACGAGGGGTAGGAGGATGGAGCTAAGGGATATGACCAACGCCAACTAGAATAGTCGATGCTGAGCTGCGTGGGATCGGATTGGCCTGTCTGTGTAATAGCGGAACATTGAAGTTGGCCCAGGAAGAGGGTGTAGAAATTTGACGTTGCGTGCATTCATCGTGCTATCTCCCTGATGGACCAACGCTTGGTTTGAAGTTGGGTTAGGTGTTTTTGTTTTTTGGGATGGCAGAAGGGCAACTCGACTGGATCACACAAGAGATGAGAGGGCAGTACTCCTTGCTTGTAAGGAAGAAAGTTCCTATCTCTGTCGTTTTTCACATTTCACACGGAGGGGAGAGGGGGACGGGGGGGGGGACAACCGTAGATACGTGGGACCAAGTCTGCCGGGTTTTTATGTTTCCACTCCGCTGCATACAGCGTCGGCATGCCTGTACACGCACCAGACACCAAACACCTAATGCCGGTATGAGTACGGGTGGAGTGGCGAGAACGACCTGGGTCCTTGCCAATAAACGCTTTCCAAGCACCCAGCTATAATACCACTGTGTGGTGTTTGGAGTAGTACACTTGGTTATTGCCGTGGGTTCCAGGCATACATACTGTAGGGCCTATACTCCGAATCGTAGTTTCGCGCTTTTTCTCTACCTCCAGTCCATTGTCCCGTACGACAGGCTACCAGTACATGAAAGTGTCTGTGCGTGTGTGCAGGGACTTCGCCGAGGGACATTGAGTGCCATGCCGTTCCATGCCATGCCAGGACGGGAATTGAAGAACGGAAAAAAAGTGATTGATACAGAGGTCGCCGTAGTTGTCGTGGAAAAGTTGTGAAGGATGAAGGATGGACTGTGGCTGAAGAGGCCGAAACTTGGTTTGAATTGCTGCGCGATTTGTGCTGTGAAATACTGGCACGCACAAAGGATACTACTGCTGTAGTTCCGATCCAGCAACAAGTAGCTAGCGTGTTAGTCGCGGGAGATTTTTAGTAGTTCGCGCGGGGTGTTTGGTCGCTTCGTACATACGTCCTTGCTCGGCACGGGCCATGGCTACAGTAGAGCAATAGAAGTTGAGTTTTTATTTATTTTTTATTCTGATGATGGAGATTTCAGATACAGACGAGACTACTGCTGTCAAATATTTTTTCAAGCATTTTGCAAGGTGCGAGGGGTTCGTTCCCGTCCGCCGCGACTTTTAGAATCGGCCAAACTACATGAAGAGATTGACTCAAATTGTGTCAGGAAGGCTCACGATGGAATACATCCTCAAGTTTACGCCAAATGGCGTCCGTCGGAACAGTCTCACAATGACAATGGTCTTTGCACGCAATCGTCTGTACCTAACTTAGCATAGAACACATAACCAGGGAAACAAGGAGGAACGCAGCGAAATCCTCTTTGGTTTGACATGTTTTGACCATTTACTGCACACCTTGGTCGACTCCGGGATTTCGGGCGGGGGGGAGGGGATAATAATCGACGTTTGAGGCATATGAGTGCTAGCCGCGTTTGCTTGCTTTTTTGCTGTGTTGCAGTCAAGGTATCTTTAACTGTGGGACACAGACTGCGGTAGTGTCTGTTGGTGTAGGATAACTCATGGATGGTAGATGTGCGTGCTTGCTAGAGGCACGATGGAGTAATATATTGTTTCTTACTTTTAACCTGTACCGCGTCAAATGCTCGGGAGGTATCCTTGTTGGAGTTCTGGGGAAACAGGTATATATCCCTGTTTGACGCCTGCTGCTACTAGCTGCGCACCTTTGCTCTGTGTGCAACAATATGTCGCGAATAATCCCGAGAGCGACCGCAAATAATTCCGCTGCCGAGTCTGAACGTACGTACGGCATCCTGAGCTTGCTTGAACAATCCGACAATCTCTGCACACCAATACTGCAAGGTTGCCACATATCAGGATCTTCGGATGCCCCGAGGTGTTCATTCTCAGAGTTCTTTTAGGGGGGGGTGTTTTCACATAATAAAAATAATCAATGAACCTTCCCTCCGGGATAACGCGGACCCTACCCGGGTGTGTGTATATAGGTCCCCTCGGTATCTTCTCGTCTTCATCGTTCAAAAAAGATAATAATGAATGCAAACTTGACAGAGCACTGTTCCGCCGCAGGTACCTTTTTTTCTGCTCCATTTCGCCAATACCGTGTCTCGACTTCTCGGGCAGTATCACCTTTCCCTCCAAGCATCATACAAGAATCACAATAGTCATCCTGCACGAAGCAGTCTCAGATGACCAAGTCCGAAAAGTCGTACCAACCTACCTACAGCAATATTGTTTTGTTTGTCAAACTACGCACTGCAAATCCACCTCTCGAGAAAAAAAGGCGCGAGGGTGGGAAAAATACTTGATTCATGTGCATTTGCTGCTCCTCAAGCTGGCAAACCCTGACTGGGAGTCTTCTAGGTGTCAACTTCGTTCCTTCTCTCTGATGTGAGACATCTACTGCAGCTCGCATGAAACTCTGCTAGACTCACCATCTCGTTCGGGGAGCCGTACTCCGTGGAACCTACCCAAAAACACCTCCATGAGAAGTAGTTCGGAGGTGCTTTCACTAAAGAATGCCAGTTTGGCTTGTCTGCTACTTCCGCAGAAACTAGTCATTTTCCACTCATTCCGCCGTCTGTTCTCACTCAGTAGCTTGGCCGAATACTGACGGCTTCAACGCACGTACACTCACAAAATAATATCCCTTGGCCAACGCTAGAATGCTACCACTTTGCCACAACCTGGTAGAAACTAATCAACGCTGTTCCTGGGAACTCGGCAGAGTAACACTGATATACGGGGGCATCCGAGGGTGTTTCATGGGTATGGTGAACATGGTGGGTGGGGTTCTTCTTGCCTCGCCCACGTCTCTCACTCGTGAAAATGTTTGAAGAATGACAAACAAACAAACGTAGGTGACGCGAAAAGAGCCTCGCGCATCATGTTCACCATTACCATGAAACACCCACGTAGCCCGCAGAGGCCTCGTATATCAGTCCTACTCCACTGAATACCCACACACAGTCCCCCCCCCCCCCCCCCCCCCCC